GCACCCCCCCCCGCGCGCGCCCCGCTGCGCACCGGGCCCTGGCGCCGCCGCCACACGCTCGCTGACAGGGGGCGGAGCCAACCGCCGCCGTGTGAGACCCTCCGCGGGGCGGGACCGCCCCGCGCCGCCGCCCGGCCAATCAGGGGCGGGCAGGTGGCCACGCCCTCCCTCTTCCTCTCCCCCCCTCCCTTCCCTCCCGCCTCCGCCGGGCTCCTCGCGCCCGCAGCTGAGCCGCAGCGGCCTCTCGCGGGCGCAGGCGGGAATGCCCAGGCTGGGCGCGGGGCGCTGGCGCGGCGCGGAAGCTAAGCAGAGGCGGCTGCGTGTGACGCCTGGATGGGTGACCTCACTGGAGGCAGCCCGCCCCCAGCCCCGGCTTGTCTGTCAGAGCACCCCGACACATCAGAGCATCCCGACTTGTCGGGACAGAGCCGCTTTGACGCCTGAGCGCGTGCTTGCTGGCGGCCAAGACCGAGCTGCCACGCTTCGGCACGCCCCCCCCCCCCCCGAAAGCTGCAACACCCCACCAGGGCCACATGCTCCTGGTGGCATCGCCGCTCACCGGTGCTGGACCAGTGCCATTGGGGCCCACAGCTACCAGCACCTGGAGCCCACCAGCCCGTGGTGGGGGACGGGAAGGTCAGGGGCTAAAGTTTCTCATGTCCTTTTCCCTCGGCACCGGGGCTGAAAGCAAAGCTCCCTGCAGGGATCAGATCCGGCCCCAGAATAGCTTCGTGGCCACCAGCCTGGAAGCAAAATCCCATCCCGCTCCGGCCCCGCTGCCCCGAGAGAGGCGTCACCCTCACCCCTGGAGCGGGCACCCATCAGCCGGGCAGTGCCCTGCGCTGCCGCCCTGGGATGCGGGATGGGGGGACGACCAGGCTGCAGGGCTGGCATCGCGTGGGGAGCCCTGGCCACGGCAGGTGCCTGGGATGGAAAAGAGGGCTGGCCATGGAGGTGAGCGGGCAGCGTCCCGAGCCACAGGCAGCTGCCAGACTGATTTCCAGGCAGAGGGTTCCCAGTGGGGTCCCAGCCCCGGTCCTCCGTGCTGGTGTGGAGGAAGATCCCAGGTGCGGGCAAGGGGTCCCGTGCCTGCAGAGCCCCCGTGGTTGAGATGCCCTGGGATGAAGATGGGGACAGGCACGAAGAACAGCCTCGCCTCCATCCCCGGGGAAGCCGCCTTCCCCCCATGACACCCTTCTGCCCCAGGGCCAGAGACCCTCATGGGCTGCAGGTGCTGCTGGGGGGACCTGGCCCTTACGGGGACCCCCAGCTTGGGGGACCTGGCCCTTGCAGGGACCCTCACAGCACCTGGGTCTCCTCTGGCCCTGACCCAGCAGGACAAGGCCATGCTTTTGGGGGGCTCTGCCCCTGCAGCAGCCCTGGGACCCTGCTGTTCCCCCTTGGGGTGCAGCAGGGTGGCCCCGGTTCCCCTCCCCAGGCAGCTGGTCCCCACTCTCCCCTCACCCCATCCCCATCTCTCCCCCTGAGACCCCAGTGGCACCCCGATAGCAGGGGCTGCCATCTCCCCTGCCTGCCATCCCCCCTTGTCTCCCCAGGGAGTCCCGGCCAGCTGGTGTGGGCTCCCCTCTCTCCTTGGCCCCCCATGCAGCCCCCTGCCCCTGAGGTAAGACTTCCCCAGAGCTCCCGGCCCCCTGGGCTGGCAGCGGGCTACCCCAGCCTGTCCCCATCCCTGTCTCCATCCCTGTCCCCATCCCTGTCTCAATCTATCTCTGTCCCCATCCCTGTCTCCATCCCTGTCCCCATCCCTGTCTCAATCTCTGTCCCCATCTCTGCCATCCAGGACCCCCAGGCACTTCTTGCCCTGCCCCGAGCCCTGGGACAGGGTGAGGGCAGGAGCGGGTGGGTGTCAGGGAGCCGGGGGGGGCTGCAGCACTCTGTTCTGTGGGTGGTCCCGTGCGAACGGGCACAGCTCCGGCACCAGGAGCCGGACACCCCCCCCCGCCGCGCGCCTGCTGCAGTGGGTCCCGGGGCTGTGGCCGAGGCGGCCGGCATTGCTGGGGGTCCCCCTCGGTCCCCCCCTCAACCCGAACCTGCTGCAGCCTCTGCATCAGCCCCCGGCCCTGGGGACGGGGTGGGCTCCCGCGCCCCCTCCCCGCTGCCCGGTTGGCACCCGGA